CCGCAATCTAGCACCACAAAAAAAGCACTTCACTATTTGAACTGATGCAGAAAGATGAGTGGAAACGCTTCGGCAACTTCCGCCTTTACTCGGTTTTCCCCGTTAGGCGGCTCAGTGATTGGCTTAACATATTTAGGCAGGCGTCCTGATTGGTCGAGGAGGATGGCAATCATGTTGCATTACCTACCGGTGCACTGGGTCACGAGTTGTACTGTGAGTCTGAAATGAATGACACATAAAAGCACATTGTGTTCATTTTAGAAACTTCAGCGGTTTATGGAAACACGTTACCTTTAAACTTTATCACACACACTGCGTACAGATAAGTTGAGTAACCAAACAAATGTCAGTGATTTTGATGACGGACATGTTGTTTTGGTAAATAGTTAGTTGCATTTGGGAAGCCTAATGAATGACAACGCCATGCATCCCTCCCTAATCAAATTAAAGAGTGGTTCAGGGTTGCAGTTACAATACACTTGGGCTACTGTGAGAAACAGATATAGTAGAATAGAAAAAAAAATCTAGCATAGTTCAAACTTAAAACACTGGATCCCCTTTCTTGTGTGAGCTTTTAAAACATTTGAGAAAATTACGTAATTTGATTCACTTGAGTTATTTTTTAGCTTGGATTTGGAGACAGTTTTAGCAGCTACACTGCCTTTGCAAATTTGGGACTTCATATTTGTAAGGCATTGGCTTTTATCAGCCAGGGAAGGTCTATTAAATGCTTTCTGAGTTTAGTGTTTTGGGGGTTGGACTTAATTGACTTTAAATCAGGACATTTTACCATTCTTTTTCTAAATATGTCTTTTTAAAGTCAACCAATTGATGAACTCCTTTAAAGAGAATGTATCTTTCAAAGATAGAAAAACCACCTTAGGACAACTGTTGCATGTTATACCACCTCTCTGTTTATTTCCTGTTTCCTGTCTCGTATTCTGTCAAAAATAAAGTTAAAAAAATGTACTTAAAAAGTGACCAGCATCCAGCTAGCTTAGTATAGCTTTTCCTAAGACAGGAAAGTGCACATTTAAAGCTCACTAATATGTTTTATCTTGTTTGTTTAATCAGAACAAAAACACAAACTATAAAAATGAGAAATCTCAATTTTATAGGGGGTATTGCTTGCTTTAAATTGTTTTAAAACGTGCTTGTAAATGGATTTTGTTACCTTTGCAAAGGTTAGGGTATAGCTTATTTCCTGAAGTCCTTATGCTAAGCTAAGCTAGTCAAAAGCTTGCCCCAGCTTCCCCCAATGGTGTGGTATTCATCTTCTCATCCAACTTTCAGCCAGACACAAAAAAAGCCTTCCCCAAAATGTCGAAATCTTTTGAGATAAGGCAAAAATATGTCAGGTACTGGGGTCACTTTCTCTAGCAGTCAGTATAGACACATGCCATATTGAATGATCAAACAACAGTTTTAAATCCAAACCACAGCAGATCCAATTTTAAGATGAGTCACTCACCAAAGCTGCCTTTCAACACGCTGCCCTTTCTCCAGATTGACAACAAAGCGTGAAAGTATTTACAGTCTTGATCACAAAGCAGACACTCACTTGGCTTGTTAAACAAGTTTTAGATGAAATGCCTAACACAGGAAACACAAACACATGGACATAAAGAGTGACATTCGCACAACAAATCCATACGCCGTCTTCTATCATCATCAATCAGACCTCGAGCTGTCGACGAAAAGAGAAGGGTGTCCTTCACAAGGTAAACCAATACATTCTGGACTTGGTGTTTGGTTAAGGTGAAGTACAATAAAGTTTTTGGAGTGTATTAGTGGTGGTTAAGTAAGTCCCAGGGAATGAAACAATGCTATATCCTCATAACTGATGGTGAGGATTTTTGTGTGTGTATAGATTTCAGTGTTTACATATTTTAAACTTCTCCCCACTGGTTGTTATGTGAATGTTGAAGTTTAGCAAAATAAGGATCATCACACCCTTTTTTTTCTTCCTCTGTGACGCTGCAGGGAAATCACACCTCTGGGCTGTGGGCTTCTTTAGTCTTGACAACATTGAGAGAAGCATCTATGGAATCTGCTGCCTGACGACAATGAAGGCATGTTAACGCACGGGAGAATCCTTCAGCCATTTCTCACTCTGGATCTAAAGGATTAATGAAACACGGAGGACTGATACCAGATTAAGTGGAACATGATGGTGAGAATCAGCTCTTTTTTTTAAATATTTATTTTAGAAAAGAGTTAGACCTGAAGGATACATGCCAGAGAGAAATTCTCATTTACATGGGTGTAGCTGGTTTCACCTTGCTTCTCCCTTCGCTGTCATTCAGGTATTGGGGTTGACTCACTGTGAGCCATGAAGTGCTGGAATGTAACTAAAAGTACTCATTATGCAGAATATATTACTTCAGAAAATCCCTACCTCTCGATTGTTTGCGTTAGAAATAATTACAATTGAGGTTGTATTTGGTTTTAGTATTTCCATTTTATCCATCCTATACCTGTATCACACTGCAATTTAGAACCTAATTTGCACGTTACGATTAATGCAATAATAAATAAACTCATATTTATAATATCACTGGAATTATTTGTATTATTCATCAATGTGACACATTTGCAAATTGTATATCAGAAAACAAATCTACTTTAAACAATGCTGGGTCATATAAGATAACATTTATTTTAGAAAAATGGGAAATTCTGCATAATAACTATTTTAGTTTTGGTCCTTCAAGTATATTTTGATTCTCATTCTTGTGTACTTTAAAGATAGTAAGATTTTGAATTAAGGCATTTGTTTGTAGTATTTTCACACTGGTATTGTTAGTTTTAGTACAAGTACAAGATGTGACTGCTTCTCCCACCACTGATTGCATGAAATAATAATAATAATAAATTGTATTTATATAGCGCTTTTCTCTGGCTCAAGGTCACTTTACAATATGGGAACACCATCTAACTGAATAATTACTTGTATTTATTGATATTTGGGCTTTTTTACATTATTAAGTCACAGAATATATTAGCTAATTTATTAAACGGAAACTAAACTAGCAGATTCTTTTCAGCAAATATGAGACAATTATTTTAAAAAGGAGCAAAATATAGGAACATGTGAAAACAGCAGTGCATGTTGGCGCAGATATTGTATAAACAGAATCTGTGTCTTATGAAAGATTTAGAATAACACTGAGAAGCATTAATTATGCTGCAGGTGAATTTACCTGTGCGCAGTTTCCTGCAAACCTTCCCGTAAGGAATGCTAACTTGTTTGTGTAAACAAGTTGTCTTTGGCCATTTTCACAATGCATTACAATTTATTGTCGTCTTTGGTTGATGGCCAGTGCTTGGGTTTCATCAGATAATTGCATGTCCTAGGACTAATTCACTATTCTGCCAACAATTCTCAAGAAGAAATTAAATGTATTTTTTTGCATAGTTGGTCACTCACAAGGATATGTATATTTTCTAGAAAAATATAATTGACTGTAGCAATAATAAACAACAATGGTTTAAAAAAGTGGTTTAAAAAAGTGGTTTGAAAAAGGTTGCGTCTGAAATCAACAAAATGTATAAACTAGAACAACCTCAGCTACAATAGAGCTTTTTCCATTACTTTTTGACAATATGACAATCAGCCACCACGAACAACACCAGGACTATGAAACTAAACCAGCTATAATGCCTGTTACACATTATTTATTAATTAATTCACAAAATTCTGAACACTTGCTTACTGTTAAAACTATAAACAAAGACTGGCTTATTAACCTGGTCAAGGGAGACATGTTATGTGTCAACTGATCTAATCCATTTTAATTTCGAAAGCACAACATCAAGACAAACAGTTCACTTGTAGAAATGCAAAACCATGGATGGCTTGTTTGGCAGCCAATGCTCTTATTCAATTATTCTAATATTAGCCAGTTAATTTCTGTCACTTTTAAACCCATAGCCGCCCAAACCCCCGAGGACAAAGTATTTGATGAAGTCTTCCTTCACCGCCTCCTGCGACGTCACGCAGTCGACCTACGAAGACCCCGGTGCACCGATGGTAAACACGAGAGTCTGTTGAAACAATGCATCTGAATGCATTCATTGTGGTGTGTCTGCCAACAAGGCCATTTCCATACTTGAATAATATGTAATTTGTCTACCCAGTGAATCAGAAATTGTATGAGTTCTTTCTTGACACGTCAACTCAGTGTTTCTGGTAAACAAAAGGGTTACAGGAACTGAATTAGACACGGAACATGGTTCTTCCTCGTTTCAATGTTATCTTGTACGAAGGGAATGACAGCACAGTGAAGCAGTGCACTTGGACCATTTTAAAACAAATGATTGTTGACAAGCTTTGCTCTTGTCTCAATGGTTATATAATATTAGACTGTTTATTTCTGTACCCTATAGGAGCCCAAACCTTCAAGTCCAACGCCCACCCTCACCAGCTCTAATGATGTCCAACAGTCTGTCTATGAAGAACCAGATTCACTATTGGTAAACACAAGTTTCTTTTTAAACACTTGTCTATATGAATGCATTAATTGCTAAATGGTGGTTACTTCAAGGAACCCTAACAGATGAAACCATCCATGTTTTTTACACCTGCGGAGAAGCTGGAGCAGAATCCAAACCCATAAATTAAATTAGGGATTGTTTTGGTTTGGCAGGCTTTCAGTGTTATTATATTAGACCGTTCATTTCTGTCACTTTTAAACTCCATAGACGCCCAAACCTTCAAGTCCAACAACTACCATCACCAGCTCCAATGACGTCACACAGTCGCCCTACGAAGACGTAAACGTAAACACAAGTTCTTTTTTAAACAGTTGATTGGTGCGTTTACTGGTACTTTTGCACATTACTGAAAACAACAGCTTGGGATACCACACACAATACAAGAAGGGCACTTGGAGTTGGTTGTTTGGCACTTGGTTATTTGCAGGCATTGCTATTATCTTAATAGTTCCAATATTAGACCCTTAAATTCTGTAACTATTAAACCCCATAGGCGACCAAACCTACAAGTCCGACGTCCACCATCATCAGCTCTCAAGACGTCCCACAGTCGGCCTATGAGGACCTGGATGCACATATGGTAAACTTGAGAACCTTTTTAACAGTGGTTCATCTGAATGCATGAATGGAGTGTGTGGTGTCTGCTGATATTTTTGCACATTACTTAATTCCACTCAATGGATACCATACACAATACTAAAAGGGCATTCGGAAAGGGTTAGGGTAATCTGCAAAGGCCAATTCAATGAGTGAATAATATTCCAGGAACCCACCCAGTTCTTTCTTGGGCCATGCTACAATCTTCCACCAAGTGTCATGGTTGTTTGATAGGCATTGCTTTTATCTTAAAAGTTGTATTATTAGATGCTTCATTTCTGTCACTATTAAACCCCATAGGCACCCAAACCCTCAAGTCCAAAGTCCACCATCACCAGCTCCTTTGACGTCCCGCAGTCGGTCTACGAAGGCTTGGATGCTCCGATGGTAAACACAAGTTCCTGTTTAAAATGCTTCCTTTCTGAATGCATTAATTGCTGAATGCCGTGTCTGGTGATTTTGGAAGTAATTTGTGTTCAACAAAACTACCGTACAGTAAAGGTGGGGTTGTTTACTTTTTCATTTAACCAACCTGTGACCTAAATCGGCTTAAATATGTAATGAGTTCTTTCTTGGGCCATGCTACACACTTCCACCAAGTTTCATGAAAATCCCACCAGTAGTTTGTCCGTCATCCTGCTGACAACCAACAAAGCCAACAGAGAACATGACTTCCTTTAAACCAATGATTGGTGGTTTGAAAGGCTTTGCTTTTATGCTATATTTCTAATATTAGATGGTTCCTTTCTCTCACTACTAAACCCCATAGGCACCCAAACCCTCAAGTCCAAAGTCCACCATCACCAGTTTGTTTGACGTCCCTCAAGTTTCTTTAAAAATAGTGGTTCATCTGAATACCTGAATTATTGATTTTGTATTTTTCTGATGACATTCAGTGTGGTGTAAAAATCCTTGAACCTATGTTTTTTTGTTAGCCTACTGTCACAGATGGAAGCCACTCGGATGTTAATGTCAAGCCTGTACCTCGTCCCAGGTCTAGAATACAACCAAAGTCTGAGCATAACAACAACAACAACTGTTGACTCTTCAGACACAACTAGCGATACAACCGATGCAGTGGTGAGTGGGAATATACTCTCAATGATCGCTGATGATAACATGTAGCATGCATTGATTGTATCATGTCCTTCTAGCCTCAGAGTTCCCAACTCAATGAGCGTCCTGCAGACTTTAAGACGCCTTGTCCCGTTCGTCCTCCACGACCGCCGCTGAGCAAATATATGACCTCCACAACAGCAGTCTATGGAGGCAATCAGTATATGATTTCACAATATGAGCCAAATGTTGGGGTATGTTATGTTTCAAACCAAATAATGGTACTTTTTAAATGTTTAAAGCTTGCTACATGCGTGCTGTTGCTATAAACATCACTTGCCTTAAAGGACTCGTTTTTTAGTATTAGTTTTGAGAGTCATTCTGCACCGTTGATGTATCTTTGTAACTGCTAAGTTGCCAGTAATAGTATTAATTAAACAAATGAGATATAACGCATTAATTAGTGAGCTTTAGATACGCTGGTAGGCCGACTTTGGTACTTTTGAACACAACTCTAACTGTTAGAAATGGGGTGGTATTGATTTTCTCATCCAACTCTCTGCAAAGTAGCTACTGTGCGAAACGTTTAATTATCTCTGCTGTCAATATTTGAAGAAAAAAACACAACATAAATGCGTCTTCTTGTTTTTTCACACAGCTAAACTCCTTTTACCACTTTTCAAACATGTGTGAACGGGTAGCTGGAGAGAATATCAGAAATGTTATCTATCTTATAGTCTTCTTTATCTGAGTTTATTGTTAGCTTTGTTTACTTATTCACAATGTTTTTTTTGTATTGCCAGTTTATTTGATTCTCTTTTAACTTTGCTTCCGTGAAGCACTTTGTATTTGTGTTTTGTGAGGTGCTATGCAGATATTATGTAGAATTATTCTAACTTACTTCCTCCTTAATTTCTGTGGTAGACTGCAGCTGTCAGTCCTGAGAGAAAACCACCTTCTCCAGGGCCGGCACGCCCGCCTCCTCCCTGCATCGACTACGCAAGACGTTCTAAAATGAAGCTACCCTCTGTGAAACAGGTAAACATAGTTTCAAGTTAATAAAATAGTACAGGTCAATTAAATTAAATAGAATATAATAGAAACAGTGCAGAATAGTCTATATGCAGTAATTGGACTATTGATAAGTTGCAAACAGATGAATGTTATGGATGTTCTTTCAAAAGTTCAGGTGTTTAACATTCTTATGGCCTGTGGGATGAAACTGTCTTCACATACTTCACCTCCTCCATCGTTTCAACACTTGTTTGGCATCTTACATAAACATCTGAAGGCACCTTTAAATCACCAGTTCATGAATCAAAATGTTGGTTTTTCTGTCTTTTCAATATTTTCTTGGATAGAGCTCAACTGATGAGAGTGCGCAATCCACACCCACCTACGTCAGCTTCGTGCAACCCTCTTCAACTGTTTCTGATGGAGAGGTGAGTTCCCGCTGGAGCTCAGTAACCTGCATGATAAGAAAAGTTGTAATACATTCAATTATTTGCTTACTTTCACCTGCATTATGCAACCATAATCGATATCATTTCAGGTCACATACAGCCCAGACAGACCAGCAGTTCCGCCTCGGATCTGGGCTTCCTCCCTGACTCGCTCTAAGTCGATGCCGGAAACCTCGCCTACACAGGTATGAGAGACACTGCAGGCTACAGGTGATGGACCGGTTCCAAAACAATAACAAAAGGGGCTGAAACACTTGCGTTTGTCATGCAGTCATGGAAAATCAAATGCGTAAGGGTTGACTGGCATGCATTTTACGCTGTTCAGTCTGTGTGGAATGCAGAAACAAAGGAGACAGTCCAAGTGCAGTTTCTGCTCTCAACAGGAAGTGAGCTCTCCCTTTGGTGCACCTAGTTTATTTTGCATGGGCAGATTATCAAACAATGGGCCCCTGGGAACAGCTAGGCAAAAGGGCCCACCACCTCTGGCAATCAGACTGTATATATAAATACACTCTGAATGAGTTGTTTAGTGTCTTTGTGTTGATTTTTTGTGCCTCTCTCTGGTCAATATGTATTTTGTAATTGTTTTGGTCAATATGTATTTTGTAATTGTTTTGGTCAATTTGAGGTTCTTTATAATTGTTTTGTGTGTCTTTGTAGTCTTTTGTGGTCATTTTGAGTCTCGTTGTAGTTGTATTGTTTGTCCTTGCCGTTGTTACACATTTCTTTGTAGTCCTTTTGAGTCTTTGTGTAGTTGTTTTATGTCAGTTTATGGTTATTTGGAGCTCTCTGTAGTCTTTTGTGGTCATTTTGAGTCTCGTTGTAGGGTTATTACTTACTTAATCCTCTCTGTCCCCTCCTCTGGCATAAGGCCACATGGTCTCCCTCCTTTATTTCACCTAAAACTACAACCTCATGGTGACGTTAGAGGGATGGCAGTCGGATTCATTATTTCGCCTAAATGTCTTTATCTAACAATGACAGACTGGCACAGACAAACAATATCAAAAGTATAGAGCGAAGACACTAACATGGCTGAATATTTAGTATTTGTTTCCGTAGCAAGATGTTGTTTCTGCAGTTGTGTGAAAGTGTTATTTTTTTCTTTATCTATACAGACCAGACCACCCCCACCTTGTTTCACCCCGCCTCCCCCACCTTCAATATATACAGATTCGGAGTCGATTTACAGTGAGATCGAGCACTACCTGGACGTCCTGCCAGAGGATGAAGATAAGATAGTAAGAGAAACAACACACACTGTTTCCTTATCTTGTTTAGTTAAGACTTTCCACTTCCACCTCAACCCAGTTGTACATTTAAAAAAATTATAATCTGGTCAGATAAAGGGGCATGGACCTTTTTACTGAGCTCAATATAAACTTGGAGTGTATATGTTACTATACAGGATGCATCTATGCGTGCTGTATACTGCACATATACACTCATATACTGTGTTGACAACTCCTCAGCTCCATAAGGAGTGTATCAGTACGTTGTGAATTTAGTCTCCTGTTGTCCGTAGGATTTTATTTTTCTATGATTATTGATTTACATAATCTTACAGGATATTCTCCAGGTTAAAGATAGGAAAATAAAGAAGTAAATACAATTGCGAAAAGAGAAGGGTAACATTTGGCTCTATATCTCTGTGTGTTTATGTGTGTATGGAGTGTGTGCGAGCTACCTGTGGGGCTCTGAGCCGATACAGTGCTCGCAGAAACTGTCACATCGTCCTGTGCTCCCACTCCCACTGGAGGGAGGAGAGGTGCGAGGGGCTGTGCGACACACAGTGAGCCACTGCGAAACCTGAACATGGACACACACACACACACACACACACACACACACACACACACACACACACACACACACACACACACACACACACTTTCATTTATTTCTAATCCATTAATATCTGTTTGTTCAACACTTGTAGACTGTGACTTCAGACAGGCCAACGTTTCGCTACCAGAGTGGCATCTCCACTTCTCGTCAACCGTCCACAGACGACAAAGAGGTACGCTTTTCTAAATGGATCACTTGCTCCACTCCTTAACCTCAAACTAAACTGTGATTTTGCATGTTTTAAAAAAATGAAAAACTCATCTGTTTTTCACAGGACATTATCGGGATGTGTCGATGGTTGAAAAGAGTCTCAAGTAAGTGCAACATAGTTTTCTAGATATTCTGGCATTTTCTTGATGAATTAAGAGGCAATATTAATGTATATAGTTTATACAGTGTATAGTGTCTATATTCTTTGGGGAAGAAATGTCCAATAAATAAATAAAAACCATGCAGTAAGTGAGAGAGAAGAGCACGATCAAAGTGGGCCACCCAATGCGTGGGCCATCCAAATAGGTTAAGGGGCCTTTGGCTTTTCTTGCCGGGTTTCTGTGGGAAACACTGGTATATATATTCTCTATCTTGTAGAGGTCCTCTGGTCTAATGTATCTCTGTTCTGTCACTCCAACAGAATCTGACTGCATGACTCCGTCACTGTATGGCCTCAGTATAGAGGAGGAAATCAGGTAAACACACGATCAACCCCTTCTTTGCAGTAACAACATCATTTTGGTGCAATGATCTCCATTATACAATATTTATGGAAACTTAAAGTGTAGTTTTTACTTTTTCTGATTAAAATAAGGAAAGTTAGAGGAATCATTTGAAACAACTTAACTTCTAATTGACAACATGACCTTTTGCATAACATTGTAGGCGTAATAATCAAGGTTAAAAGGCTAAAACATCACATTTAAAGGTTGAGGTAGATTGGAATCAGAATATCAAATAAATAACAGAAAATTCAATAAAAACATGTATGTGAAAATAGGAAATTAAGTAAAAATAGCAGGAAAAGATAAAAAATACATTAAAATGTAATTAAATGAAAATATTTATAAAAACATCAGACGTGAAATACAATTTGTTTTTACAATTAAAGATAATTTAGATAACAATAGTTATGGAAAAAATAAAACATAAGAAGTACTTATGTGTGTACAGTATATACAGTGAAAACATATTTATTTCGCTGTCGCTGTGCAGGTCATTCAACGAGAGAGCGATGAATGTGAAAAAGGCCCTGCGTCTCTACAACCTCCTGATGATGAAACGCAGCGACTGCATGAAGAACATCATCACAGAGTTCAGCACCATCTCAGAGAGCCTGGACAAGATGCAGAAGAAAACCAAAACCATGGACATCGCCGGAGGAACCACGGGCGCTGTGGGAGGAGTGACCGCAGTCCTGGGCATCGCCTTCGCTCCGATGACCTTGGGGGCCTCGCTGATCGCTACAGCTGTTGGAGCCGGCATGTTGGCGTCCGCTGGAGGCATGGGGGCCCACACTGCAAAGACCAACAAGAAGAAGGTGGTGAACAGGATGACAGTGGAGAAACTAATGTACGACTACAAGGGAAATGTGGTCGAGCCGGAGCTTTGTCTGGGTTTTATCCTCTCTGGGATGAACGAGCTACGAAGGCACGAAATCGCCAGGATTCAGAGGGCCGGAGCCCAGACTGACGCTCTGAAAGTGGCTCATCTGGCACAGACGGTGTTTAACATGAACTACGATAGGAGGTTGTCGGTTCCACACATGGGAGGGATGTCATCTGAGAGACTGCTGATGGCGTTTGCAAAAGATATGGATCTGTATTTCACAGAAAAGGAAGGGCAGAAGCTGAAGAAGTCCATTAAGAGCAAGTTTTCCGGTAGAGTTCGTCTGCTGTCGGAAAATCTGAAGGAGGAACTGAACCAGATGATTCGCCTCTGGGAGAAGTTTGTTTGAATCAAAATACTGTGTGTGTGTGTGTGTGTGTGTGTGTGTGTGTGTGTGTGTGTGTGTGTGTGTGTGTGTGTGTGTGTGTGTGTGTGTGTGTGAGAGAAAGTTGAATTGTGTAACTGGAGAAGACATGCCTTATTTAGTTTCTTTTTGTCCTATTGGTTTTGTCTAAATGTATTTATGCTGCTTTTTAAAAATATATTTATTGATGTACAGTACTTTTGTCAACTCTATGGTTTTTAAATGTGCTGGATTGGATTGGATTTACTAATTATATTTTAATAAACATTTAATATATTTATTTTTAACGTGTTGTCTGCAATTATTATCTTGTAACGCACTTTGTCACTTAGTTTTAAAATGTGCCGTAACAATAGATTATTATCATATTTAAAACATATTATTTTAACAGACTACATTTGCACGATGAGTAAAACTCATTTAAATCAGGTCTCATAGCGGCAGCAGCAATAAGAGACAAGGTAAAACAGGATAGGGCAGCTAAGTGTATTCATGTATGGTACACAAAGGAATGTAAGAATATACAAAATAAGTACAAATAAGTACAATTATTGTACAAAGTACAACAATATAATATATAGACTTCAGATATATAGAATATACATACACATATATGTTTTTTTTACTGTGTATATACATTTTTAAATTCTAATGATTATTTTAATTATTTTTTTATCTATCTATCTAGAAATAGGTACATCTGATAAATATAAACGGATGTGAATAATTATTACTATGATAAATATATATAAACGTTTATGCGAGTTACATACAATATCCTAAAACACAACCAGTAATACCTGTACCAGGGATTACTTTTTCGGACGGGAGCAAAGAACTCAAGGAATGTGGAAGACAAACAGACTGGCGGAGTGATATCGTCTGCAATGCGGAAGGATACAGCCAGTCCTCGCTTGAAGTATATATGCACAGCCGCACGACCTACGCCATTTTCCCTTCAGAGAAACAACAAACATTAACATCGTCGATCATCGCTACCTCTGGCGAAATGGCAGCGTGAAAGTGTGCCGCGACCTAGCAGCAGCCAACAAAACAGTGCATCCAACAAGTGCACTAAGTCACTTCAAATTCAGCAAACATGTCGTAAGTATTATTTTATTATTATTATTATTAAGTAATATTTGGTCGATGACAGCTGTTCGGCCTAGCGTGGCCGCGCGCCTCGAGAGCGTGACGTTCCCGCGGGCGCGACATTGTATCACATTTCAATTAAGATTATTTTTGACACTTTAAACTAAGATTTACTTTATCTAAATGGTCGAATTGCTAGCTAGATAATAGGATTATCTACCGGGGTGACGCAACACCTCACATGAGTTAAAGTTACATTTTGTTCCTTAATCAAAGTAATTAGACCATGTTATCCAATCTAATCAAACGACAGCTTCGATACATTTGTTAAATATATTCAGTGTTATTGTCATAGGTGGCAACGTGGCAGCTGGCAAAGTGGTTAATTTCCTCTGTGTGTTAAAATGGCGGCTTGTGAAGGCGTATAAGGACAAAAGTGTGGCTGCTTATAAAGAGGGAGGGTGACGTCATGTGAGGAGACAGGCTGACGTCAGAGTCACAAGACTTGGAGCAGAGTGGGAGCACGTGATGTGAAGCACTGCAAGGGGGGGCGGTGTTAAGCCAAAATGAGATCAGAATCATTATTTTTGACACTATGTTATTAATACTAGTATTATTTAACCAACTATTTATATTGTTGAAACTTTTAAATCTGAATAATCACATTTTTAGACAAGCTATTTTTTATTTTTTTTTCTAAGTTACTGTAATGTTTTGCCCTTATTATTATTATT